CAGAGGTGCCTGATATGCTGACGTCTGTTCTCAACCTTACACTGCACCCGTAATTCAGCCTCTGGGCTGCAAGTGGTCAGATATAAACTATATTCATATTCATTTCATCGCAAGTGATATCATTTTGTTTAACAACATAATTTTTATAGAAATTTTTATTAACGTTTTCCTCTTTTTTTTGGTCCTTAATAGCTAACCCAGTTGGGAAGCGATGTAAATCTGGTGGAGACATCTCCTCTAAGACCTCTACCTAACATCTACTTCCAACATATTCGACTCATCTATTGATACTTCATTCCAATTTCGGTTAAGGACCATTCAAACTCACAGTATCATTTCAGAACTTAGGACAAGGAACATAATTTTTGCTCGATCGAGCAGCTTGCTATTCAGGTAATGATTAGTTTTAAAAATTATTGAGCCAATGAATTTTTACGTTGAAAAACTAACGTACACAATTAAGAGCAAATCTTGTTTATATTTGCTGAAAGGTCTAAGAAACATGAGCTCGTAGTCCTGTAAGAATCATAGCACAAATTATAAATTCGAACAAATACATCTCACGATCTTTTAAGAGGTCGAGATCAAAAGCAAACTATTTCAAGACACCATCATTTGGTATATTTACCGACTTAAGATATACTTCAATGGAAAGCGAAAGTTACAGTGCAAAGGTCGCAATACGCTTCTAATTATAGCATCAACCCTTCTTGTAATTACAACCGAAACTTAACTGAAAGCCAGTAGGCCACAGTGCTTATCAGTTCTGTACATGAGTACGTTAGAAATGTAAAGCGAAGGAGTTATTCCACTTCAACCTTTATGCTGCGGTTGATTTTTCACAATGATGGAATAAATATTTCTCATCTTTCTGCTTTATTGCGTTCTCGTAATGTGTAAATTCGTCTAGCTATCACCACAACAAATATATGATTCACCCCGAAAGGATCGCACTGTGATAAAGTGAATGATCCCTCAGTCCTGAGATAAAGCACAGCTTATGTTCGAAAGTTAAAATTCGCAGTTCAAAAGGGGATCAGAAGGAACGGTACAGAATATTTCTATGTAAGATGGATATACATACCTTAAATCATGTATGTCCACTAGACCTTTCAAAAATCCACTGTATAGCGAAGACTAAATCCCAACAGAGAGGTGAAAGCGAAGACCACTTGTCCTGTTCAGTTTAACCAAGCTAAACTCCCTTAATATCATTTGCTTTTGAGGACGTTGATGCTGAATGCTAGTGGAGTAACATCTGGACGTCCCCATCCAAAATATTCTTCAACAGACCAAGGTCGATTTCTACATCAGGAGCGAGTATTTACCTGTTTACAAAGATTCTCAAGCCCTAACTGAGCTTCGCTTAATCACGGACGCTTGTTTTGTTTTTTTTTTTTATTCCAGAATGTGGACCATGATGTCGACAAAATTGATAGAGAACTAAGTTATTAACCTCGACGTCACATGATGCTTCTAGATTGAATATCAAATCATCTATCACTTTCGCCTCCGATCACTGAAAAACTATTGCGCCTGCGCAGATTGCGTGACTTGCAAAACGCAAGCCAGACGTAAACCTTACACCAATGATGAAATTATAGAACTCAGCAGGGGACATTAAACACATTTAAATATAGAGTTTATACCTTCCCGCTGCCCCAAATGGTTGTTCCTAAATAAAACTAGATCACAAAAACAAGCGAAATGAGTCATTAATGAACAGAAAATGTGGACAGAGAGACAGGAGAACATTTGCTGATAAATACAAGGTGCCTCGTGATCAAACTCTGGGAAACGACAACAAAGATGCCATGTTGGACTTTCATCAGTGAGGATAAACGTAATTGTTATATTTATGTGACCTCTATTATGATTATTAAGCTCACATAATTTTGTTATGCTTTTGCTCAAACAGAGTATATTATCTGTTGTTATTTTTCTGTTCGTTCCATTAGTTATGTCGCTTTTGTGCGGATATTAAATTCACGTATTTGTTATGCGGGAATGTTTGTTTGGTACAAAACAACGCGGTGTCAAATGAATGTGAATAATGTATAATTTGGACAAAGTAGCGCCATGCATAAAACAAAACTGTGACGAATCAGCGTTGTGTGCACAACAAAATGATGTTGCAAAAGAAATCAAATATGCACAAGAATTCAGATCTCATCATGCGGTGTTTGTTAATCGTTGTGATATTAGCAGTGTGATTCAATAATAGCCCTTATTCCAGTTCCGCGCGCGCAGTTTAGTTGGACAGCAGTATCCTTTGGTTGCGTACGCGAAAGCGAGGCTATCAGGTCAAGCTTCCCTGAAGATTACTAGCAGGAGTGTAGAAAATATTACATCGCTGTTAAAGTTTGGTGACACAATAGCCTCGCTTTTGTGTGCACTAATACAGGAAGCCGATGTCCAACTACACCGCACACGCAGAACTGGAATAAGGGCTATTGAGAAATATTAGTACAGTATGTCTACAGAAAGGGCTTTTGAATCAGTCTTGTCACAAAATTACTCTTCATTTATTCTGCCAATAGAATGTAAATGGTGTCAGTATCTATCATACAGATAATGGAGGTTATGAGATATTTGATTCTCATGCAAGAGACCAATATGGTAGAAGCCATCCCTCAGGTACATGTGCACTATTAGAAGTGCCATCTGTTCAGGGCTTAGTACAGTATTTCCAGACTATACACTCCCTCAGTGACAATTATGGAACTCAGAGGAGTGCAGATAAGTACGTATGAAATAACTGCAGTGAACAGTTTGAGAGAAGAACAAAAATGCTCTTGAAAACAATGCACTGCTGTAGGGCCTTATGCAATGTGTTACTAAGTAGCAAAGTCTTGTAGTTAGTAGAATTCCAGAACCCTATGTTGCATAGCTGACCGAGGAAATAAATTATATCGTAACATGGGCATCAACAGGCATCTGAAAAGGGAAGATTTATACGCGAGTATTAATGTTTGTGGAGTTGAGATATCAGTCCAAATTAAAGCTCAAAGCTATGGGATGTTATCCAGTGGTTTAAACTATAAAAAAAAAGTTGAAAAACTTAATTTTCAACAACTACAGTGGAAATACAGGGTTTTTATAGTGGCTTGCAAGTTACTGTTAGGTATTACTTGTATTTTTCAACAAACAGTCAAAGCAAAGTGCATGTTCTCCTTATTGACTTATGAAGATACTTGTAAGCTTGCAAAACAACAAATGAAAAGAAGTAGTAAACCAACATTAGAACAAGCTACTTCTAACATCAATATTGTCACAAAGAAACTTAAGACAGGTATTTGTTCACTATGAAATACAATTTTTGTCTTGCTCAGCTAACATGGACCTACATCAAATCAGACACATGCAAAAGCACAGACGAAAATATAATTATAAAAAATTTGGAACCCGTTCCAAAAATTAAAAGATTGCCACAGATAAATTTCAGAAACAAAAGCAAATCCAAAGTTAGACAGCAGCATGGGAGTGAGACAATCCCAACTATTGATATGTGCATTAATTAACTCAAGGAGAAAATCAGAGAAGGTCCTTATTAGGTATATAATTAGGTATATATTAGGTATAGAATTGTACGATCAATTGAGTATAAATAGTGATTATTGCTTAATGTATTACTTTTTTGTTGCTTAATGTATTACTTTTTATATCCATTTTTCCCTCTATGTAAATCTTAAATATAGTATGCTGGCTTTTAATAAATATTTTCCTCGTGAAATCATGTGATAGTGACCATCTCAAAAGCAATTGCTACTGTGGTCACTACACACTTCTCCCTTTCCTACAATATGTAAAACTCTGCGCTCTCTATTTTCTCCTTTTATTCTATCTCACTTGTAGTTAATGATATAAATAGGCCAAAATAAAGATGATGATGATGAGGTATGCTATGCATACAATGTTTTCACGATGAAATATACTTCCTTGCATTCAGACCGTTATAATTACAATTTCATAATATATCTTTTTAACACGTGTATCAATTGGCATGTACTTATCACCCTTGGGAAGGTGGGACTCCTTAAATAAAAGGGACTGGGGTGCTCATTGTTATATTAGTTAAAAGAAACTATTGCATCATCCACGTGTAATTGTTGGTGAGCATTGAGATAAATCCAACCTTTTTCCCAGGGCCTTTTCCTTTAGCTGGGGGTGGAGCTTTTCCCGCCCCACCCCCAGCTCCACCCAACTAAGGGAAAAGGCCCTGGGAACGAGGTTGAGATTAATCGCTTGTTGTTGCTTGAATCCAAAATCATAACATGCTTGCTTAACCCTTTCACTGCCAAGATCTTGTTAGCAATTCTCCTTACTGTCCGCCATACAATTCTTATGATGTTGGTTTGGAGAATTTGGTATTGGATCAACTGAATCCCCTAATTTTTTTTTTTTTTTTTTCCTATTCTCATTACTTGTCTGCTTGATGTTGTATTGATATTGTAGGGAGAAATTCTGTCTTGGTCACGCATGGGAGTTAAAAGGTGAACTTAGATAGCCGTAAAAACAAGTGGGAGAAAATTAAAATCAAACTTATTCGACAGCGAAAAATTAGAAAGAAAAGAAACCTCCACGAATCTATACTAATTATTGCAATATCAACAGCAATCGAATTGACTGCATCGTCAATCCACGTTTCCTCCTGCTTTCACTCATTAAATAATGAATTAAACTCCTAACATCAAGGATAATATACTTGCTAACAAACCACCAGATTACAGGTAGTTAATTGCTTCACAGTTGTTGATTCCAATGATTGTTATCAATTTTTTGCAGGCCAACTTGGGAATATCTCTGAAGCTTCAAGCACTATTTGATCGAGAATTACCTAATTCAATGAAAGAACCGATTTATTCAGATTAAGGATTTATTTGCCAACATCGAACACTCAAAGCCAAAAGAAATCGCAATTTTTGGGACTTTGCTGTACAATTGACACGTGGGCTGTTTAAATCCTTAAAATTTTCCCGCCGAAAAAACTTAGAAAAATACAGGCGCTTTTTCTACGCATGCGCTTAATTTCTTTAGTGATTCTGCAAGTAACTTCTGTTCAAATGTGGTTCATTTTCCCGCCAAAAGACTTAAAAAATACGCATGCGCTTTTTTTTAATTTTCTTTCATAACCTCCATATTTTTACTTGTCTTTTTGTACCAATAACAAGTCAATGAAATAAAGCATTCAGTTTTTTGGTGTATTTTTTTTATTGTCTTCAATAAATATACTCAATTAGCAAATCACTATTTTCTTTAAAATTCATTAAGTAGAAAGTTAATTTTTTAAGTAATTTACAATTAAATTAATTAAAAGGGTGTCTAGAAAAATATTTCGTATATATATTAAGACATTTGGCGGGAAAATTTGGCACAGTTTGCACACAGTTTCCTTTGACAAGTTTTGTGCCAAGCAATCAATCAAGGTCTCCTTCAAAATTTTCCGCTAAGACTAGTCAAACAACATCTCTTGAAAGAAAAATTATCCCCTAAATGCCAAATCCAGTTTTAGTTGAAAAAAAAAACCACAGAATTTCTGCTTTTTCTTTCACAAAAAAAAAACACTGCATCGACTAGGTCTGTCTTTTTCGAAAAACTTCTTTATCAAAGTTTCTTGCACGAGATGTCAAAAAGTTTTTAACAAAAAGAGCATCATGGCAAGGTAGGTATAGTTCGATTCAAATTTAGCGTCCAAATTCTTATCTTAACGTTATTTTCCTCAACACTTGCCATCATGCTTTTTTATGAGGAAAAAAGATCTTTAAGNGAAAGAGCCACCATGACCCACCACCTCGCCTAGGAAATTACGTGCTGTTTGATGCCGATGCGAACAAAGCTTTCAAAAATAATAAAGATAATAGAAAGCAAAATAACATTAAATAAAAGTATAAAAATCCGAGCACTTGCTTATTATAGGCATTGAATTATTGGCATGTAGTTCTGCGATTGCCAATATGGCTTAGTTTTCCATAAAGGTAACCGAAATCACACTTATACCATGGTGTGTCTACAAAGTTCGCACTTTTGATTGCGGAACTCTCAAACTCAGCGTATTATTCCTGAATTCAACTCAAGGAACACGTATGTGTGCACCATCCTCTCAGCTAACAAGCTAACTGGGAGCAGGTCATCAAATTAGTCCGACATGAACCCGTAAGATGATAAATCAAACCATAGTTAATCGAGGGGACAGGTTAGGAAGGGCGGCAAACTTGAAAGGCCGAGGTTATTGCTTAACTTTCGAGGTCGAGACTGCCTCTCACGTGACATACACCGTGCATTCAATCCAGCAGCATTCCAAGCAACATGGCGGAAGATAGCGATCTTTTCTTGTTTGGAGATGATTTAGACGGGGTTGTTGAGGCTTTAGAGGCCAGTGATCTCATTGATGAAAGCTTTAATGAAGCTGTTAGTGAGGTAAGGCAAATTATTCCAGAATTTTACGTATTACGTAGCTTATTTTACTAATTTTTGCGACTATTCGGTCGAAAGTTTTCAAAAGCTTGTTGCTGCTATCAAAAACTCGATTTTTCGTATCTGTGGTAGTTTGCCTGGTCGAACTCTTGCTAAAACACATACAATTGATAACTTTGATTATTTAAAACAACTTTTTTTTATAGTTTATAAACTTTTATGATTGTTTGTTGGCGTTCTGATCGTGTATTTTGCTGTTGTTGTTTTTAGGTACAAGAGGACGAGCTCTTGTGCACGCTCTGCTCGAAGGAATGTAAAAGTTTACGCGGATTGAAGAGACACATGACCTGTAAACATAAGGATGATCTGGAAGATAGAGAAGCAGAGCGTATTGAAGAAGAGCAATGTAAACTTACAGCAGATTTACTTGCAAAGATGGTCGACGAAGTGAAACATCGTCTTGCTGGTTATTCGATTATGCAAATAACATATTATAGACCGTTCTTTAGTAAACTGTTTAGACCTCTGACACTGAAAACCTACACTACCTCTGTTTTACTCTACGATTGAACAAGTAAGCCTTAGAGACCAATTAGCAATGATTCTTGACAACTTCTACGTTAATCAATTACATAAGGAACAAGACGATCCAAGATCGTAAGTCGGGCTACAGGAGACGTGCTGTTATGTGTATTGTCCATTCGTGGTGCGCATTGGTTCTAAAAAAAATATAAAGGAGGTACTAAGGTCCTGGTTTGTGGGCGTGGCATAAAATTTTTTTTCACCCGAGAGACACCAATTCTACAACAACGCACTCTCACATATTTTTGGTGCAATGCCCTAAAAGGTATCACAGAAGCTGCTACTGTGGACCTTTTAAGGATGAACAGCCTAAGAGGTACCAAACCCACCTTTTTTAACCCTTAAAAGCAAACTCGTTCCCAGGGCCTTTTCCGTTAGCTGGCCCCCGGCTAAGGGAAAAGGCTCTGGGAACGAGGTTGCCCTAAAAGGTACAATGAGCACCCCAGTCCTTTTTATTTAAGGAGTCCCCCCTTCCCAAGGGTGATAAGTACATGCCAATTGATACACGTGTGAAAAAGATATATTATGAAACTGTAATTATAACGGTCTGAATGCAAGGAAGTATATTTCATCGTGAAAACATTGCATGCATAGCATACCTCATCATCATCAACATCATCATCATCTTTATTTTGGCCTATTGATATCATTAACTACAAGTGAGATAGAATAAAAGGAGAAAATAGAGTGCTAAGAGTTTTACATATTGTAGGAAAGGGAGAAGTGTGTAGTGACCACAGTAGCAATTGCTTTTGAGATGATCACCACCACATGATTTCACGAGGAAAATATTCATTAAAAGCTAGCATACTATATTTACGATTTACAAAGAGAGAAAAAGGAATATAAAAAGTAATACATTAAGCAACAAAAAAGTAAAACATTAAGCAATAATCACTATTTATACTCAATTGACTGTACAATTCTATACCTAATATATACCTAATTATATACCTAATAAGGACCTCTGATTTTCTCCTTGAGTTAATTAATGCAGATATCAAAAGTTGGGATTGTCTCACTCTCATGCTGCTGTCTAAGTTTGGATTTGCTTTTGTTTCTAAAATTTATCTGTGGCAATCTTTTCATTTTTGGAGCGGGTTCCAAATTTTTTTTAATTATATTTTCGTCTGTGCTTTTGCATGTGTCTGATTTGATGTAGGTCCATGTTAGATGAGCAAGACAAAAATTGTATTTCATAGTGAACAAATACCTGTTTTAAGTTTCTTTGTGACAATATTGATGTTAGAAATAGCTTGTTCTAATGTTGGTTTACCACTTGTTTTCATTTGCTGTTTTGCAAGTTCACAAGTATCTTCATAGGTCAATAAGGAGAACATGCACTTTGCTCTGACTGTTTGTTGAAAAATACAAGTAATACCTAATAGTAACTTGCAAGCCACTATAAAAACCTTGTATTTCCACTGTAGTTGTTGAAAATTAAGTTTTCCAACTTTTTTTTTATAGTTTAAACCACTGGATAACATCCCATAGCTTTGAACGTTAATTTGGACTGATATCTCAACTCCACAAACATTAATACTCGCGTATAAATCTTCCCTTTTCAGATGCCTGTTGATGCTCATGTTACGATATAATTTATTTCCTCGGTCAGCTATGCAACATAGGGTTCTGGAATTCTACTAACTACAAGACTTTGCTACTTAGTAACACATTGCGTAAAGCCCTACAGCAGAGCATTGTTTTCAAGAGCAGTTGTGTTCTTCTCTCAAACTGTTCACTGCAGTTATTTCATACGTACTTATCTGCACTCCTCTGAGTTCATAATTGTCACTGAGGGAGTGTATAGTGTGGAAATACTGTACTAAGCCCTGAACAGATGGTACTTCCAATAGTACACATATACCTGAGCGATGGCCTCTACCATATTCGTCTCTTGCATGAGAATCAAATATCTCATAACCTCCATTATCTGTATGATAGATACTGACACCATTTACATTCTATTGTCAGAATAAATGAATAGTCATTTTGTGACAAGACTGATTCAAAAGCCCTTTCTGTAGACATACTGTACTAATATTTCCCAACAGCCCTTATTCCAGTTCTGCGTGTGCGGTGTAGTTGGACAGCGGCTTCCTGTATTAGTGCACACAAAAGCGAGGCTATCGGGTCAAGCTTTCTCGAAGATTACAGAAGTGGTAAGTCGAATTTAGCATTAGCGTCGAAAATGTTGAATTATTTTCAAAATCAGCATTTTTAACTGCCAAAAATGGAAGTGCTGGATGGACAGCTTCGAAACCCGTGCTAGTTCAAAGGTGAGTTCATAACATTTATTTAAATCTTGGCATTTTTACCCTGATGATAACTCGTTACCGAATCGTAATGTCTGTGGACCTTTTCTTTAAAATAGGGTTATATGCTACACAAGAACGGATGGGATGATGGTTTTCTTAAAAAGTGGTAGCACTTGGCAAGTAAACAAGTGAGCGAAGCGAGAAAAACTACTAGTACCACCGCAGCTGTTGCAAGCAGTGGTCTTTCTGATTCTGTGGATTCGAGTGGATCTTTGAACACGATTGGATCTGTGTTTTCGATGCTCTTCAGTTGCTCATCAATGACATTAATGTAGACAGCCGTATCCTTTGTCACATTGAGACATCTCGCAGTAACTACTCTTCTCTGTTGTTGTTGTTATTGCTTGTCGATCATAAGGTATTTTCCTCCGTGGCTTTTCAGCAGACAAAATAAACTTCGTAGGTACAGCGTCCGGTTTGAGTCGCATTCGCTGTCCCCCTAGGGACTTTATAGAGCACTCGGGCTCAAATTACTTGCTACATAGATAGGAATTTTTGTTTAAAGGAGTGTTCTCTCTTCGGATTTTTACCAGTCATTTCTGGAGAAGATCATTGTTTGATAGCGGCAAGGAATTCCATGCGAGGCCGCGACAATCTTCTTTTGAACTCCGGCTCGTACAGCCAAAGGTTATACAGTGTCTAACCATTGTGTTTCACCTAAACTTTAACAGCGATGTAATATTTTCTACACCCCTGCTAGTAATCTTCTGGGAAGCTTGACCCGATAGCCTCGCTTTCGCGTACGCAACCAAAGAATAATGCTGTCCAACTAAACTGCGCGCGCGGAACTGGTATAAGGGCTATTATTGAATTACACTGTTAATATCACAACGATTAACAAACACCGCATGATGAAATCTGAATTCTTTTACATACTTTATTTCTTTTGCAACATCATTTTGTTGTGCACACAACGCTGATTCGTCACACTTTTGTTGTATACATGGCGCTACTTTGTCCAAATTATACATTATTCACATTCATTTGACACCGCGTTGTTTTGTACCAAACAAACATTCCCGCAGAACAAATACGTGAATTTAATATTCGCACAAAAGCGACATAACTAATGGAACGAACAGAAAAATAACAACAGATAATATACTCTGTTCAAGCAAAAGCATAACAAAATTATGTAAGCTTAATAATCATAATAGAGGTCACATAAATATAACAATTACGTTTATCCTCACTGATGAAAGTCCAACATGGCATCTTTGTTGTCGTCTCCCAGAGTTTGATCACGAGGCACCTTGTATTTATCAGCAAATGTTCTCCTGTCTCTCTGTCCACATTTTCTGTTCACTGATGACTCATTCGATTTCTGGTTTGATTCTAGAGAGACCTTCGCTAAATCATTTGATTCTTTTGCTATTTTGAGTTCGCGGAACGACCGGTTCGAAATATACGCTCATGAACAAGAAATTTGAGCTCACTTGGCGAGTTCGATTTTCTGAAATAGTAGCAGCTTCTGTGATACCTTTTAGGGCATTGCACCAAAAATATGTGAGAGTGCGTTGTTGTAGAATTGGTGTCTCTCGGGTGAAAAAAAAATTTTATGCCACGCCCACAAACCAGGACCTTGGTACCTCCTTAATATTTCTTTTAGAACCACTGCGCACCACGAATGGTCAATACACATAACAGGACGTCTCCTGTAGCCCGACTTACGATCTTGGATTGTCTTGTTCTTTATGTAATTGATTAACGTAGAAGTTGTCAAGAATCATTGCTAATTGGTCTCTAGGGCTTGCTTGTTCAATCGTAGAGTAAAACAGAGGGAATGTAGGTTTTCAGTGTCAGAGGTCTAAGCAGTTTACTAAAGAATGGTCTATAATCTCTTATTTGCATGCACAATCGAATAACCAGCAAGACTAAGACCGATTGTGAGATCAGGTGTCATCAAATTAATGCTGAAGCCTCTATAATTAATTGATATACGTTTGCGGTATAAGTCAACATTTTAATTTTCGGTAAGTTATAAGATCTTTGCATCCTTATCGGATGCTGTGGTTACAGCGCAAAAAATTGTAGAAGGATAAGTTTTGTTGTGGGCCTTAGAGGTAATACCTCATCTTTCATAATATATTGCGAGTTAGCCGAATCTGTGCCAGATAACTGACTGAAAAGAGTAATTGAAGGATTTTGCACGATAAGCTTACGTGTCTGCGGTATTCCCCATTGCACGTGACAGACATTTGTGGAGAAACCCGATGGTAAACCTATAGTCGGTTACCTGACTAACTAACTTTGAAATCTACCAAATCAAATCATCTTAACTATCCTCATTGACCTATTGTACTTAATTGTTTAATGGAAAGTTATTATTACGTTGATGTTCTTAGAGTTGCGTGTGAATGGCTATGGTTTGCTTTATTTGAAATCTACATAAAAATTCTTTTATTTTTTTTTAAAGCAGGAACGCACAAGCTAATCCAGAAGACGGTTATCAACCGTTACGACACCAAGAGGTATTTTGCAAATTTTTTTACCTCTGAGATATTTTCAAGACTAGAACATAAAACGCGCAGCCATGTAGCATCCTATACATGCGACAGAAGAACAATTGTATTTTTATCGAGGAGCAGCGTATACAATAATCGGACGTGTTCCACTTCAATTGAAAGTCGTACTCAGCAGACCTCTTCAGCAGTGTGAGCAGATTTGCGCAAGTGGTCTATGTGGTGGAGTAACATATTTCTCAGCAAATTTTCGTAGTGCTCTACATGTGTAAGAACTGCTTGGCTCGCTTTCCGAAGAACTTGAGAAAGAACTTCATAAAATGGATATTTAGTAACAGCCTTTTCACTCTAGTTACTTTTTTGAGAGGTGCAACTGAAGCCGAAGTATCGACCGATTATGTGCAAACACCTAACACTGTTTTTTTCCTTGTACGAGAACTGTTTTTTTTTCTTTAGATTTGAGAATGAAATATATTATATGGATAAATTCATTAAACAACCTGTGACACTATTTAATTCTCTTCTATTAGGAAGGAATTGGTGGCCAATCACTTCCCATTTGGCAGCGCCCAGTTGGACGGGTGATTCCACCTCAATCGATTCAGGAGCCAAGGTTCCCAATGGAAGAACAGCAACCACAGCTACGGCCAGAACCTGGAGAAGCGTACGGAGAGGGAAGTTGGACATCTCATCGGATTGGGGTAGAAGAAACTGAAGGACCTGCAAGTGGCCATCAGACGAGTGGATTGAGTAGATGCTTGGAGGGATTGTTACGAGATGCAGGCCAAGGAAGGACTCTAAGTTCCTCGATCGGATGTCGGGAATCAGGAGACCACCTTTCGCGTAGTATGAATGTTTCAGATACTGAGGAGGGACTTGATGTTAACCAACAGTACCGTCGGAGAGGATTGCCGAGTGGGACCATTCGACCTAAACAGAAGGATCATGCTACAGAGCATTATTGTGACACACAGGGAATGGTGTTGTGGGATGAAAACGTCTACAGGTAGGTAGTATCTTATTGCCATAAATACAGAACTGACCATATTCTTCTTTTCAAAACTTAATGTTTGAAATCTGAATGTTGCTTCAGTCCTCCTTTTTAGTCCTTGCTCAAATGAGTGTTGCATTAGTTCAATCCATCATCGTTTAGCTTCGCGTATCTTTAATGATGGAAGGATGAAGGACTTGTGTTAATAACAGTTTCCAACTTCTGCAATTTACTTTGGGGGGCTAGTGCAACGAAAAAACGGCCTCTTTCACAAGGTGTCTGCTTTCGTAAGAGAGAACGGTGGAAAGTTTCGGATGTCCAGACTGAATATAGACAATACAGACATTTTTTAGCTACTTCTAAGCTATACCTAGAAAATGAAAATCAAGGCTTGTTCGACGTACACTTAAGAGACATGAAAGAAATAAGTGTGGACTGTGAAAGTGCAACGACCAAATTCTTATAAGAAAACGTATTTAGTTATCTTTGTGAGACGAGTTTTAATTCCGAATAGGCATAAGAAAGACATTTTAAGACCGGCATTAAACACTGAGATGTTAAAACATCTTGAAGATGCTTTGCTTCCTACTCCAGGAGCAAGCCCCTGATCTTGTGGTTTACTTTCCAGGTTGGGTCGGTTTGATGAAGCCATTATGAGCCAGTTCGAAGGGCGATTCTGTTCCGGAACATATCATTGGAAAATTCGAAATTTTCAAACGCGTCGTGAAGATGCTATCAGCCGAGATATGGTAGCTCAGTTTAGTCCCCCAATCTGCAACAGGCTTTATGGGTACAATTTCTGCATGGTGATGTATCCTAACGGTGTCAAAAGTGGGGTTGACAGCCATGTTGCGATCTATGTCCACATGATGCAAGGCGAATATGATGACCGACTGCAATGGCCCTTCACTGGCGTGGTAACGTTGTCAATCTTGGATAGAAGTGGTTCTGAAATCCCCAATGATATCACCAAAGTTCTGACTGCCTCTCCGAACCTGGTAGCATTCCAAAAACCCGCAGCCATTTGGAACAGCACTGGCTGTGGATTCGAAAGATTTGCCCCCATTTATGAGGTATCCCAGCCAAAATATTTAAAGAACGATACATTGGTCGTGAAAATGGAAATTTCACTCCGTTAGCATTCCTAGATCTGGATCTGGAAGAGGTGATATACATGCGCATGGTTCAATCATTCGTAAAGAGTTAAACCATTTATATCACAATGCATCATATACTGCTTAATTTAGACAAATGCTTTCATAGGTAATTAGTTAACTCAGATATATGCTGCTTCTGTTTGATAATGTGTTGCATGTACATGTTGAATTAACGGTAAATATCATTTTTGACGAAGTCGTCCATTATGGTTCGGTTTCACCGAAATAAATTACAGTTAATTATATTATGACGCTTTTTTGTAGTGAGGTGTTGAGGTGATCAATGCTTTAGTTTAAGACCAAACTGACACCTCTATAGGATTAATGTAGAGAGGTTGCCTTCGTTATTTAAAACACTGTTCTTATCAATAGCACCAGTTGTGTAGCAACTGATGCTTGAAGACTCGAAGCTTAAATGTAAAATTATTAGCAAGAGTTTTCCCTGATCAAATTTTTGAAACATATATCCAAGGCGGGTGTTTATTGATGAAGAACAGTTAATTAGTTCATCCAAATAAGTGTCTCAGTTTTATAGGTGCTCACGCGCATTTCCAAGGCAGTTTCAGGAGGGGATGATATATCCTCATGTTAAGTTAAGAAAAGAAGCCTTTTTTCCTAACAAAAGACTCGCATTAGAGTCACGTGATAGGGCCGACGTTTTTCTGGGTTCAGCAGGATCGTCCGATTCCGATTAAATTATCTTTTTTGAGAATCTCCCAAAAGAGAAGTTGCGCTGAACCAACTATTGTAGCTATACTAATAACTTGTACCAGGAAAGGAAGGACTTAGCTCAAGTAGCACATATGTAGACCTGTATATATATTAACAATGGTTTGTTTTTCATCAATCCAAAGAAGGAGTCATAGATAAAAGTAGTGAAGTGATATAAGACCACTTCGAAGGGAATGGTTCCGTTCTCTTAAAAAAGTATCGGCAGAAAACTAACACGTGTGTTTAACATGGAAAAAAACATTTTAAGGAATGTACTTTTTATCGATTAGGAAGTATTTTGTACTTAAGATAAAGTGCAGTAAGTGGAGAGAGATTGCTGAAGTTATGCCGATGTAGGTTTTTAAGCTTTAATTACTTTCAACGTGTGAGCAATGTTTCTATAAATAGTTATACTAGCTATGGTAGATTTAGCTTTGGAAAGGTTTTTATCCTGGTAATTAGTCAAAGGCTCATCAAATAACTTAGGGGTTTTGTCAAACTTCGAATAAACGGTTTCGGAATTTTTGTCTGGATTATATGATTGAACCATTTTAATTTTGGTAAGCAGACAGTTTGGCTGAGCAGTTAGGACGCTGAACTATTTACCTGGTGGACCGGGTCCACACCCTCTAACATGTTCTATGAAGCCGGGGGGAAACTTTCGAACGGGAATGTTTTCCTTCTTTCAGCAAAATTTACAGTAAAACCTGTTAAGAGGATTCCACTTAAATCGGACTCTGAAAAGTAAGCCTCGGGTGCCCTTGTAATAGAGCGTTCCCTTAAACATACCCAACAATAGATCCTTCTGAAGTTGCTTATCATTATTTTCTCCGTTTCTACCCTTTCTTAGTTAATCCGACTGAATCATTCCAAGGCAACCCACGTTTTGTTGTTAGTCTGACGTCATTGCCGAGGTAAATAAGAATTTGCCTTCAATTCTGAACACCAAATAAAATTGATCAGTGTAAAATGAGGTTTTTTGTTTGAATCTGAATTAAAAAATCTTTTCATTATGGCGAACAAGTAACCTTTTAATTTACGTCTCTTAAGGAAGTCTTTCAGTGTGTTTCCAAAAGCACTGAGCATCTGGTAATTACATGTACACTGCACACAGTAAATTTTGGACATCACAACGGCAAGCTTTATCATGGTAATATATACTTTTGTCATCTGTCATCCTTACCGCATACCAAGTAGTTGTAAACCTTTCTCTTGTCATGTTTCCATAATGAGTTGCGTTTGAAACGAGTACAGAAGTTGATCAGTTCACCCCAGCGAAAAACTTTAGGTCAGAGTTCACCGCTTGATTAATAGGGATCAAGCGCGTCGAGGAAAATTTCAAGAGGTAAGAAAAGTCTATAAAATTAAGTTTTAGAATTTGCAGGAACCTAGAAATTTCGATCAAGCACCATTCGTATTAATTGCTGCGTAAGTTTGTTTGGAGACTAGCTTTTTAGATCTATCTGGCGAAAACCAGCATTTTTGGAAGCAAATAGCTGAAGGGCACGTAAATTTGAATTCTTATAGTGTATTTCCGGGCTAATTATGGACACAGAAAAGAGTGATACTTGTAAAATCTCGCAGTGAAACTCTTAGAGTAATTGTCTCATTTAAAACTTAAAGTTTTGTTGTCCTGCCAACAATTGCTTTACAAATACTCGCCGCTTAAAAGTCAAATAATCTTTTGGTGTTGTTGCTAGCAATAACTTCGTAAAATTATTTAGCCAGTTTTGCCGGCTGTATCGTTCGTAAATTAGTTATTTTCCTGAACGATGTATACAAATCGTGATCAATCATTACTGATGCATCAAATTGCAGCGTCCAAAGTAATTAATTTTTAACGAGAAAACAAATTAAAAACTAAAGAAAAATGCGTGTTGGATTGTTTTCACTGAACAAGGTGACTTGCACGTTCCTCAAGCAGTAAGGTTTATTTCGCTTTTCTTTGCTGAATGTGGCCGCAGGCTATTGACGACATATGTATTCATGGCACGAAGCTAAGCAGCTGTAGAATATTGTTTACATCATTGTAAGCAGCGTAAACTCTGTCGGCGATTGCTCGTAGATAAAGGTAGATATTTTGAATGTATAATAGATGTGACAGGTAAGTCGAAGCGGTCTGTTTTAAAACTCTTTATCATTTTGTTAGGCAGAATAATTCTCTTGATTAGTTAGGTAATGACAATTTCGTCGCTGAAGAGCTCTGTCTAAACCAGGCGAAAGATCATCATTTATATAAACAAGTACTCGTATATTGAGCTCAATCGTTACTGATTTATAGATTTTGGTTTCAAATTATACGCTGTTTTTAATGAATCGGTCTTACAAGAGTTATGTTATACAAAGGAACTTGACAAACAAAGAAAGAAATATTCGAACTTATCTGTAGTTTGTAACGCCAACCATATGGTATAAGAGATATTTCCTCGCGAGTTATAGTTGTCTCTTTCGGTCTAAAATTAGACCAATCTCCCATTAATTTTTTTGTTTATTAACTGATTTACTTTCCTTTGACTTACCAGAGTACATTTCATGGCATGCACTGATCTGAAACTATTTTTGAGGCCAGAGTACAAGTTCCGGAGCGATTTAAAAGTTATTTCATACTCGTGTCCATGTGTGCTTTTCGAATAAGATGAGGTCGCGCGAAGGGTTATTGACTTTACAATGTGAATGACTCTCACGTGTGTATCACTCCAGGACATCTGGTCGACGTAGATTCTTAACCAAAAATAAAACAGATAATTTTATCTTGAATTGATCACATATTTGATTAAAGAGAATTTTATGATTATCGTATATGTTCCTCGCCAGAGAAGAGGGATCGGAAAAAAAAGTAAGATTAGAAATTTTGAAACTTCTCGCCATACAAATGCGAAAACATTTCCGATTACTTTGTTACAGTTTCAAATATAAAGCTCGCGAACCTTTTTCGCCGTTTGATTTGCCTTTCATTGCAGGTTTAAACTTTCCACTAGAAGTATGATCGTCATTTTTGTTTTTGTTTTATTGACCATTTTATAATTTTTTGTCATTTCAGATATTAACGAAACGTAGATTTTAACGATGCTTCGTCCATGGTTCGCATGGCTTATTTTGGTTCTGAGGATTTCGAGGGCTTTGTCAGGTAAAAAAATTTAAATTTATAGCCCAGTTTTATCTACATGTGATATGATTTTAATGGCACTGTCGCATGCCGCTAATACCCGCATCTGACTGGTTTATACTAAGAAGAAATATCTCAAATTCTAATGTCCTATCTGATCAATAAGAGTAAGTGTTGAGAAATGGTAAGCTGCCGCCAATACTCGCATCTGATTGGTTTACATCAAGTTGAGTTGTCTCCATTGCATTTCCCTATCTTGTCGATTTGTCCAAGTTTTGAAAAACGGTACCGGTCGATTAAGAAAAAGATATAGGATTGACTGAACAGGTGAAAAATATATGACTTTTGAAAGGAAATTAAATGCCTCAAAGTAACATCATACGGTCGCTTTGACCAAGGGCTAAGGATTGTAACCTCAGCTTTATAAATTCTTTACCGACGGTGGCCAATTTACATTATTAACTCAGTTCATAACACGAAATTGTCTTGTAATATCCTCCAACGAGGCAGCACCACAGTTTCTTTTGAAACTTGCATCCTCTTTTTATGTGGCCGTGTTGAGGCAGACGAAACACGGTGTGGCTGTGTCTTGTAAATGATAGAACAAAAGTCATGGTAAAGGCTATGTTACTGAATTTAGGAGGCGTATGCGTAGCAAGGCTTAGTTGAAATTTTGTTCGTTTTCTTAATGTTTTCTGAGGAGTTAGAAATCGAAGAAATATTCTCGGAGCAAGGACTTTAATTAAACCACATGTGACGTGTAGTCTGTGAATCAAACTAGGCCAGCGCTCTGGGAGGGGAAAGTTCTCAGCAGTGTGCCATCCCTACTCACGGGATGACGCACCAATCAAAGTCTTCAACGACTGCCAACTACTTTGGCTGTAACCATTTCAGTGCAGCATCGGTGAAACAATTTAGAGGGCCTAGCAAACTGTTCCCGTTCAACCTGTTCTAGGAGCGCCACCAGTCGTAACTGATTTTCCATCAGCGGATTTGATTAAACCTGAAGATGTCCTATCAGATTTTGGATTTCGTCTTCCTTGCAAAGCAGTTGGTTCTTCACCTTTGCAGCACAAATGGAAACTGAACGGACAGGACATTGAGAATGACTTTCACTTTAACATCATGAAGGACGGGACTCTCAAGGGAAGATAACTTGATGATACTCACAGCGGAATTTACCAGTGCTTCGTGAAAAACAGCTTCGGTGAGGATTTCAGCAGAAAGTTGAAAGTCCGTGTTACAGGTATGTGAAGTAATAAGGAGTCTTGTTATTCTAAGATCCGCCTTGTAGCGCTGTACATATTCAAATACCGACTTTTCTATTTGATAGGAGTTTCTCGGTCTTGACTTTTCCTGGGGCATCATTAACTTTTTCCTGGCAATCTTAGCACGTCTATATGCAGTGTATCACGGTAATGGAATATCCTGGAAATTGTACACTGAGGCTGCATGCCAGTTATACTGGTGTTGAACTGTCTTTTTCCAAGGGAAATATCACATTGGGGCTGCGTTCCCAGTTGTGGGCCTCTGCAGTGTTGTATCGTTTTCCCTGATATGGACTGTAGTAAGTATATCATTGTGATATACCCCGAATATCTCGCATTTAGGCCGCTTGTTTGGGTGGAGACTTGTACACTTGTCTTTGAATCGTTGCCAGAATGTCTCAAAGTTACGGAGTTAAGTCAGTGAGTCATTGATTTTGGTCGCAATATTCTGAATAAAGCTTACATCCTTGGTGACAGCCTTGTATCAGCTTTTCCGAACAAGTAATCTTGATTTTAAGCAACGTCCATCGGTATGAACCTAAGTCAGAGTTTCTCTGTTTTTGTTATCTCTCTCACCCGGTTAACTTAAGGTACTGAGATAATAGGCGACAATGGTTTAATGATTAAATTCGAACTAAGGGTAGTCATGAAGGGGAGTAAGCGATCAATTGAAAGCATCCCTAATTCTCTTAACTACCCGCGCAAGGTAAGAATAGGAGAAAAAACCAAGAAATGTTTGTAGTCTACAGCAATCAATGGCCACGATGATAGCATTGTAGTTACTATTGATTAAATTTTGTCAATGTGTGTTTATTCTTTCATGATCAGTCGCCGGTCAATTTCACTACGACAACGACAAAAACGCCCCAGTCACGCTTGGAAAACCTATTGAAATTCCTTGTCCGGACCACGACCCTAGTTTTGGTGTGAGGTATCGCTGGGGCTTTTATGATTCTTCAGATCCTTATGCATTCTATCCTCTTCCCGAGGACAACCGTACAGCGGTTACAATGGACGGAACACTTGTGATCATGTTTGTGAAGAAAGAAGACGTAAAAAAAGTGAATGACAGGAAAGGAATAGCTTGCGAGATGTCGATAAGTGAGGCGGCAAGATACTCACATGCGGTCAAATTTCATCTTACTGGAAATGGTATGAACTTTTTTTGTTTTACTCTCTTAGCCATACTGTTCTCTACACATTCCCTAAGGTACCGACGAGGAGCATTTGTTAACCAGACAAGAGCATTTGGAACTGGTGATCATCTTTCTTGATCTTCAACAAATGGTAAACACGACAGCGTTCACTTTTGAGTTATGAATACAGGTGAGAGGCTGCTAGGCACGAAAGAAGCGCAAGAGTCGCGCGAGGCGATAGCCGAGAGCGACTCTAGCTTCTTGAGTGCTTAGCAAACCTCCCAAGTACATCCACAACTCAACGGTGTGCACTGTGGCGTTTACCATTTGTTTTATAACATAACATTGATGCATTGTAGCAGAAAAGTTTTCTTTTACATAACAAATCTTACGTGACCACAAAAAATAAGCGCGCTCGGAAAATTAGTCTTTGTAATTGCTCACGTCAGCAGTGTATACCCATAGGCAAATGGTGGATACTAAGTTGAACAATCAGAGCGCGCACTTTACTATGTTTATGTTATAATACTGTTTGATTCGGTGGTGGTACTGTCAGGAAAAAATTAGAAACTAAACAGTCACTCTTTGGGATCAAAGAATCAAATTCGATTTTCAATTTAAGTGGAAGAATCGAGCAAATTTTCCTTCCGGGGAGGGATGGTCTCTACATCAGCTTCCTACTGGTAAATGTACCAAAAGTTTGTCAGACCACTTCAATAGTGATAACATCACATCTTATTTACATAAGGGAAGTTTAAATTGACTTAAGACACTTTCCTAGCCTAGCTACACGAACTCCCAGCGGGTTACACCCGAGCTTAAGGGTTTTTCTTGCAAATCGAACGATCCTGTCCCTTTCTTCCTTTGAGAAGTATTCGTCTAACACATTCGTGTATTTCCTCGCGGGATACGTTTATTCTTGTTCGAGGTGGTGGTCGAGAATTTATAGAGTTGCTGTAAAATCCTGGCCACTGCGTCCATTCCATGGACCTGACACTTTCTTTCTGATATTTTAATTTCCATTGATGTTCTCTTTCCCTGAGAATAATCAGGTTAGCTGTCCACCCCGGTTTTTCTTTGAAAAATCTTTGAAAAATCTTTGAAAAATCTTTGAAAGAGGCCAATAACCCAGAGCCACGCCCAAAACGATTAAACAAGCTTATTGCCACCTTTCTTTCTTGAAATTCTCAGCATAATTAACATGTAACGAATTTTCCTTATGTCTTTTGTTCTCAGAATCAACCGAAAAGGTATCACCAGTTATTTATTTTGCACCGAAACACCTTGAAGAAGCTAGAGAAGGATATCCGAAGAAACTTCATTGTTTGGCCGTAGCAAAGTAAGAACACGTTACCAGATGGTTTTTTTACAGAAGAAATAATTAATGTATTTCACCAGTCATTACCTTTGTCATCTGCATAGATATCTATTCCACACTCCCTAGAAAAAAGRAA